AAATTACCAGCCTGTGGTTTTTCAGGTCATTTATGCAGTGCAAATTCAGACATCAGGGAAAGCTCATGAACAAGAGCTCCCAGGAGCGGTGTGTTGTTCTAGTTCTGTCCCACCCAGACCAGGAGGCATGTTTTCCACATCTGCCTTCACTGGGGCATCCACCAAGACGGTTTAGACCTCAGCCCTTTTCTCTTAAGTCCTGTCTGTGCAACACACATGGCAGACCCTGTGCCAGCTTAGGGCTCACTCACTCGCATTAACTCTGGCTCTCTGATTCCTGGCCTATGAGGAGTTCACTGGCCTTCCCACTGACTCAGACACACACTTGAAAGATTTCGATTCTAGATTCCACACGTTTAGGCAAGCTACACCGAGAGCCATTTTTCTGAACATCTTTTCTTGCTCTTCACGGACTTCATTCATCCGATTTCTTCACATACTAACAGGACACACAGGCATGAACATCAGAGGTACGCTTCCTTGGACATAGGTACTAACCGGCAGAAAGACTCTACTAAAACTGGAATACCTGGAAAGAGTGATACAAACCATTGTTGCCCCAGGAAAAGGCAGGAGAGCTCTGCAGCTATAGAGAGCAAGCGGCCGGGGCCAGGGAATGAGAGAGAGACACACGTGTCAGTGTTGGGGATGAGGTGTTAGCAGACCAGGTGACATGCCTGTCCCTAGGGAAGCCAAGAGGACATTGGAGTGAAGAGCAGGAGGTAAGCAGGGTACTAAATATAAACCACGGTATCTTCACTGACTTGCTAAAGCCTGGCTCTGCCACAGGGAGTCACACACTTGGAATGGAAGAATACGATTTTCATGTTTCACATGATAATGAATCTGATTTCCTCAATAAGGGAATGGAAGTCAGCTAAACTGTCTGTACCACATTCAATGGTGGGTGCTTGAACTCAGGTCTTCAGAGTACTAATTCCAGTACATCTCTCCCAAAAGATCCTAACATTTCTGTCTTCCCACATGGTGTGTTCACACAGCACTCTTGTTTCACAGGGTATCCTAAGTGTTATATGAAGAAGTTGT